TGGCCACCATAGCTACATTATCCACTTTTGTGTCACATTAATTTTGCACAGCTCTTTGCCTTTCTGCAGTTAAAACCATTGAATATGCCTTGTTCACGGAATGCAATGGATCAATCAGCATGATATGGTTTTTCAAGTTATTATACACATCACTGAGTTCCATAAGGAACTGGATCAACTTAGTTTCTGACTCTTGTTGAGCAACTAATTTCCTTTTATCACATGCGCATACTTGTATAGAGACAACACAAGCATACTCATCCCATAATTTCTTCAACTTATTAAAGTATTCCATAACCGAGTTGTTACCATAGTTCAAGCTTGAGATCTCTCTTTTAAGTTTGTATCTCAGCGGTCCATTATTTTCTCCAAATCACTGGCATATGTCATCCCATAGTTCCTTGGTTGTATCAACATAGAGGAATGATTCTGCAATGTCCTTTGACATAGAATTTAGGATCCACGATAGTACTGTCCATTCAACTTTCTTCCAAACATAATAATCATCATCATCTTTATTTGGTGGAGTGATTTCTCCATTTACAAATTCGATTTTAGTTTTCACACTTAATGCAATAATAATCGACCTTTTCCAGGAGAGAAAATTGTTTCCACTTAGCGGATGTGTAACGAGAATCGTACCAGGACCATCGGACCCTTCGAGAGAAAATGAATCCTGCTTCGTGTCTCTCGCCATTGTTGAATTTCTAGCTAGGAACTCCTCTGAAAATGCTCTATTACCTTCGTTCAGCTAGAATGCAGCTTGCAAATCCTTCATTTTGGATCACCAAGCTAACCCGCTCTGGTCCATGTTCAAAGCCAAGAAGAATTTGGGGGAGAAAACCTCCATTTTTGTATTATTACTTAGCGCACATTCTGCATGTTAAACGTATTTAAATCCCTAAACACATACACTTAAGGACCCAAACGACGTCATTAGAACTATCTCTCTTACTTAATGGGAAACGACGTCGTTACAGTCTACAAACAAATTAAAAAGAGCGCGACTTTATAAGTAAAGTATGCGTCTTCTACAAACCAGAAAACCGAAAATGAAGAAGGAAAAAACAACAATAAACTGAGTAAGAATGATAGAGCACAATGTGAATTCCAACATTTATCTTTGTTCAAAGTTTTTCATGCAAGAATCAAATGATTAGGACACCCCAAAAATTGAATAATGAAAAATTCCCAAAGCTGACACATGAGGATATATTTCATCTTACCCATTTCAATTCTTAAATAAATAATAGGGAAATTTTCATCCCTCCTGCCCGAAATAAAAAAAATTATAAAAATACCATCCATACACAAGATATTGTGACTCTACCTAATTGTGGAAAATCAACTACATAAATGCCTAAAATTCAGTTACATAGTTGGACCCCATCCAATTTTCTCTAGCATAATTTCCGGTAGGTTTCCAAAAAAAAAAGGAATGGTTTAAAGAATATGGAATTAAAATCATGAGTTTATGGTTTTTGCATTTCATATGGAAATATAGGAAATCTGAGTTTGAAGCTTTCTCATCATCAGTAAGCAGCATGATACACAGAAAAATATATTGAAAAAAACGATCGGATTTTCATCCAGATCGATTCACGTCAAAAAAAAATGAAAAAATAAAATAAAATTTGAATTTGCACTATACTCTTCTTCACACTATAGAACGATTAACCAAAAATATACTGCAAAAAAACGACTGGGGACGTGAAATTGTTTAGCAAAATTTTGTGTATAAATTTGCTAAAAAAAACGAAGAAGAGTCGATCGGATTTTTGCTGAGGACGTCAAATTTTACCATAAATATACTGGAAATATACGGAAAAACATATATAGTTATTTACGCAGAAGTCAGGTGGTATATTTTGAGTTTATGTTGGTATATATTCAGTATATGTTGCAATTAAAAACATATCCTCCACAAAAAAATTAAGTCTTCNGACGGGTCAATCATAAATATTTATAGTTTATTTTTGGTTTATTAACAGTATATTTCTAGTTTAAAAAGATATCTTTCACGTTTTATTAATAATATATCTTTCACTTTTTTTTAACAATATATTTCTAGTTTATTAACAGTATGATACACAGTATATTTCACGTTTTTTTTCATATAAAAAAAAAAAACATCCATTAAAACAAACATCCATTCAATGAAAATAGTATATTTTTAGTATATGATGTACATATACTGATCATAAACTAATCTGAGAATTTGTCCAAAAACAAAAATACATCTAAGAAATTCTTCCGTAAGACTGTAAAGCAGGGAAGCAAGGCAGTAAGGTGGAGCGAATCCGGAAAGATTGCCCCGGTACTACAATACATCTAAGAAATTCTTCCGTACTCCCCTCTGGATCTATCATCCCTCGGGCGGAAAGCAGTAGATCTCCGTCATCATTACTCCCACTACTGTTGAACTTATCATCAACAAACTTAGTGAATTTCTCGATTAGAATATGGCGATAGAGGAATTATTTAATCCAAGTGAGCATCTGCATATTCAATATGTGTGGGAACCATTCTGGTTTATTCTCAATTGATTGTCTTTACCTGGTCAACCAATATTTTATCCAATTCCATGCGACGGAGGCAATGCGGCGGCGCAAGGGATGGGGCTGGCTTGGGGCGGGGGTTTCGCGGATAGGAAGGAAAATATGAAGATGGGGTTTAGCAGAGTTGTGGGTTGTTTAGTTTCAATTTTTTGTCCATTGTTTTAAGGTGATCCTTAATTGAAATTAAGAATTTGATTAGCATTTAATATGCCAGGAAAAAAAGGGAATAACGTTACAACCCAATGTTAGGTAAAATTGAAATATTTTTGGCTTAGTTAGGCAATTTTATAAATAAGAATATAAGGAGCATATAAGTGTAATAAAAATTATAACTGTTGGTAAGGGTGCAAATTCCTCTAAATAATAATGACTGGACGGACCATAGGCCTAAAAAAGCCCGCAATGGCACACAAGTATAAATAAATACAAGTGAAAGGACACCAATATCCCCATTTGTCCGGTCTCTTTTGGCCCTTTGTGAAACAACACGACACGGAAAGCTGGATGCTTAGATATAATTTTTTTTTATTTGATTGAATTTTTTGGTTTTGTTTGGTTAATTTTAAAAAAAAGTGGTATGATTAATTGTTATTGGGTATATTAAAATAATATTTAAAATAAAATAATTAAAATTGATTTGATGTAAAAGTAGGAGAGAGATGATTTGAAGTGATGTTTAATTAAAATAATGTGAGTAGATGAATAGTAAATTAAGGTTGATGTGATGTGTAAATTAAGGTTGATGTGATATGTAAGAATGATTGGTTGATATTATTTAATTATATTGATAATATTGATGATAGTGAGGTTTGTTGACATCCGGATACGCCTGTCTGTGAAGGTACGACGCGTGTATAGGACACAGATGACCTCGGTCGACCCACGAGCGTGTCCGACAGCAAGAGGGTTGGCGCGATAATGGGCGAGCTCATACCGATGCCGAACTCTTTGTCTGCGGAAGTGAGGGGACGAGCATATTTAATGAAGACAGGACTCTCAACCATACCGCCGTCAGGGACACGCGTCAGCTTATCTGCATCTCCGATGGCCTCCGAGATTCGGGAACAATCATTGGGCATTTAATGAAGGAATAAAGGCTAGATTTAGTATAGATTTTGTACTACACACAGTTGTACTACACACATATGAACAGTAAAAACGAAGTACACATACACATACTATAAATAGGTACATAGTTGAGACTGTCGGGATCTTTTGGCTGAGCCCCTAAGATACCCCTGCTCAATTCGGCCGAACTAGCTAAAACAGTCCGGCATTCTCCCCAGAAATACAAATTACTAAAAAACTCGATATATTCTTTCTTTCGCTCAGCTATCCAATCTCAACATGCGTTGTTACGAAAATAGATAAGGACAAAGTTAAATTAAAGTTGAGTTAAAAAAGTTGTTGAGTTAAAAATGTTTGAATTTTTTTGAGTTAGATTTGTATCCAAGTATCCTCTAGTTTGTACGATTAGTTGTTTTTTTTTTTCTAAACAATTTGCACGATTATTACATAAATCGTTTTTTATACTATTTTATAACGTATGGGGAGCTTTAAAAGTTTAAAACATGACCTTGTAAAATACAATATAAGACATAAATATTAAACAAATCTATGCATTTATCAGAACACATACAAGACGAACAAAATGACAATTTACTAACAATCCGAGTTTTTCAAATTGAAATGATGAACCCATATGCCATATATAATAATGGAATGTAGGCCAAATAGCCTCAGGGACTGAAGAGACCCATGGGTATGGAACAAGAAAGCTCGAATTTGATAAGACTGAAATTTGGTTAATTACCAGCACACTCCATACTAATGTTATTCAGAGTTTTATCCAACTATTTTATTGGTCAAATTATGTTACCCCTAACCAAATATTGTAAGTTTTCGGCCGAGTTAATTCTGATTCTTGGCAGCTTTCCAATATAAGAAAAGGAGAAAAAGAAAGACGAAAGAAAATTCAAAATAGAACGGGCTGCAAAGAGTCGCTTGGCATGGCCCGAAACCCACCTCTTTCCACGTGGCACGTAGCTGTAGTTTCATCTCGTCACAGCACCTTCCTAACTTTCAAAAGTCCATTCACTCACGCCAAGAAACTGCCCCTTTTCCCCCATTTTACCCAATTATGAAGCTCGAAACTCGAATCTTGACAAGTATATGCCCCAATGTAGCAAATCTCCGTATATCTAATCCTAATCTCACATTAATTAAATTAACAAGAAGACAAGTAAATGTGCATTTCCTACATTGTACCTGAACAAAAAATCAGAGCGAGATACGTAAATTATTAGCTGTCTTTGTATTGTTGGTGAATAGTAGAGAACAACGCCGCCATCTACAATAATTAACTATCCTCTTTTTTGTCCATTTCTCTTTTTAATTCATCTGTTCATCTAAAATATTTAGAGTTGCGCCCTTATTATCCACCTAATTATTTCTCCAACCCATTGTCCGAGTTAAGTAAGAATTTAATTCCTTGCCAAATTTTATCCGCCCAAGATTAGAATTATAGTCGATCTGGGCAAAAGAACATAGTATGATATTTTCAATCACGATCAGCTTGGGATTATCATTGTTATCACCGAAAGATTGCGGTGAGATTTTGCCAAGCTTTTTGCTTTTTTTTTTTTTCTTTTTTTTTTCCAACAATTGTAAAACGTTGGAGAAACCGTCTTTAGAANAAAAAAGATTGTACAATGGCCAATACCTGTGAAATGGCAACCCCAGTAGAGGCCCCAAATGGAATTACTCCCAAAGGGAAGCACTACTACACAATGTGGCGTACCTTGTTCGAAATCGATGCTAGATACATCCCCATAAAGCCCATAGGCAGAGGTGCATACGGCGTGGTTTGCTCGTCTGTCGATCGGTTGACAAACGAGCGTGTGGCCATCAAGAAAGTCAACAACATATTCGGTAATCGGGTGGACGCGCTCAGGACTCTGAGGGAGGTGATGTTGTTGCGTTGGGCAAAGCACGAGAATGTGATCGTTCTCAAGGATGTGATGGCGCCTGCCGATTGGCGGGGCTTTAAGGACCTGTACATGGTGTACGAGCTGATGGACACGGACCTGCACCAGATAATTAAATCCTCCCAGCCTCTGTCTAATGATCACTGCAAGTACTTCATTTTTCAGGTAATAATGCTTGATAATTCAATAGTAGATTGAAACTATTTAGATTGCCTTTGTGTGGTTGGAATATCACTTGAGTCGTCCCACATTAATTTCAGGGCGGATCTAGCAAATAGAATGAGGTGGGACCAAATTTTTGTAGTAATTGAAAAGGCTATAAAAAAAATGGCACAAATAAGACAAAAAATAACAATATACATATACATTATAATTTTTTGATATAATTCAAGATGAAATGTTCTACAATATCTTTAATTTTTTTTAAATTTCATTATTATTATTATTATTATTATTATTATTATTCATTCTGATGACCAGAAATGTATTATTATCAAAATAAAAATATTCATCTACCCAATGAAAACATATTAAGTTGTATATATGCCAAGATCTCATGATTTTTCTCCATATTAAATTGTACTCGACATGAGTAGAAAAGAGACAATATTTCTCAAATGTTGGAGCAAAGAATTTATTACAATTCTATTTCTTAGTTAATTTCGTAGTTGACATGAATTTTAATTGGCAACAATTCTCTAACATAACAATTATTAAGTAGCATGGATGTTTTGACAAATTTATATAAAGATACAACAGATAAATAAGACATTGTAATAAGAAAAATTTGATATGAGAGAACAAGAAAAAAAAAATTAAATAATAAACAACTTCATTTATAAATTATTTTTTTAGAACTACACAATTTATATTTATTTTTTCGAGAATATATAGTATAAAAATTAAAAATCTAAAATTCCAGGTGGGGCCTATGCCCCACCTGAAGGGGCTATAGCTTGCCCCTGATTGATTTGATAGGGTAAATGAGCCTAGTTTATAAGTCAAGTGGGCTACTCTTCCCATCATCAATTGATTTTGGGACGGTACCCCACCAAGGTGCATCTAGGCTCACCCTCTTATGATGCGCTTCACTGTGTGGGACTGCACCCCTAATTTCCCGATTATCAAAATTTGACAGGTTACATTTGCTTGAGATTGGTTGCAATGACATTGACATTTTGAACTATTTTCTCTGAGTTTTTCATACTTTGGCAATTTCAATTTTTTTAGATTCAATTTTGGTTACCCTGTTGTGTTCAAGATCCATCAGAGGCCTATCTAACTCACCAAACTTGTCTATTACTATATTTACAGCTTCTCAGGGGATTGAAATATCTACACTCAGCCAACATTCTCCACCGGGACCTTAAGCCCGGGAACCTCCTCATCAACTCCAACTGCCACCTCAAGATCTGCGACTTCGGGCTGGCCCGCACCAGCCGCGCCAATGGCCGCCTCATGACCGAGTACGTGGTCACTCGCTGGTACCGCGCCCCCGAGCTTCTCCTCTCGTGCGACAATTACGGGACCTCCATCGACGTCTGGTCCGCGGGCTGCATCCTTGCCGAAATCATGGGCCGTCAGCCCATTTTCCCGGGTAACGACTGCCTGACCCAACTCAGGCTCATCATCGGCATTCTCGGAACCCGGCCCGAATCCGACCTCGAGTTCATCGACAATGCCCGGGCCCAAAAGTTTGTGCAGTCTCTCAATTTCTCGGGTGGGACCCGCTTTGCGTCACTGTACCCGCGCGCGGACCCTCTAGCGGTGGACTTGCTTGAGAGGATGCTCGTTTTTGACCCGGCGAAGAGGATAACGGTGGAGGAGGCCTTGTGCCACCCGTACTTGTCGGGCCTTTATGAATCGGGCCATGATGCGCCGGCCCAACAACGGGTGGATGTGGATGTGGATGTGGAGGAGGGTGTTGGGGAGAGTGTTATTAGGGAGATGGTGTTGAGGGAGATTCTGTACTACCATCCTGAAGCTGCTTATGGATATGGGAATGTGCTGTATTAATAATAATAATATGTTTTTGGGCTGAGGGTTGTAGTTTTTGTTCTTATGTAGTGATTTTTGTCATAGTAAGGGAAATCTGCTGTTGGGCACTGTTAGGGTGTGTTGAGGCAGTTTTTTTCCTGGTATTGATTGTGGGTTGTAGCTCATATGGTCATATGTGTGTAATATTTTCGCCTGGTTTGTTTTTCGGCGTTTTTAGCTAATAGCTGTTTCAACGGTTTTGACCGCCTGTCAAAAGGTGAAATTTGTATTTGTATTTATAGTTGTATGTCAAAAGATTGTGCTTAAATAGTTATAGTTAATGTAACATAAAGAAAATGTTTCTAGTAAATAAGTATCATTCTGAAGCTGCATATGGCAATGGGAATATGCTGTATTTATGTCCTGTGGGATCAGAAATTTATTTTCTTTTATTTTTATGTATTTATTTTTGCCTGGGAAAGAAGGTGAAAACTGAAAAGCGTGGAGGACAGACATAGCTAACATTTATTTTTTTCCTTTCCAAATTAAAAATTGATATTATTTAATCATATTAATTCTATATATTAAATTTTTTTTTTTTATTAAAATTTGATATGGGACACCACATCAGGTCGACTAGAACTGAGAAGCAGTCTGCCCAAACTAGGAGAACCAGCGGTGATCGAGGACACAAGAGGTCGAAGAGTCGCCAAGTCGAAGGCGACTCCACAGGTAGAGAGGCTCACCCACAGGTTGAGGTAGGGCCCTCAACTAGCCTGGTAGAAACACGACTTGGAGGTATGCAAGTCGAAGACGTGACCTAAAAAGCATTCTAGTTAAAGGGAAACTGAGGTAGTCGTACAGCTAGACCGTCTAATAAAAAAGACTAATGTGAACATAATGTTAATGCGCAGTTTGTGCCCGAGTTCAGATCAATAAACTATACCTTATTGACTATTGTATCCGTCTCTTCATGGATTTCAAAAGCCTATATTAATCTTAAAGATTGATGCAAAATTATCATTAATTTAGTTAAAAATTTTAACATAATATATTACCGGGACACTCCCTGGGTAGTCATGCAATTAAGTCAACCTAGTTGATCCAGCATAGCTTCGTAAAAGGAAAATGCTACAATTATAACTTGACTCTAAAAGGAATTTGTCTTAGAACCCCAAATGAAGCATGTTCAAGATTTTTATGCCATGTATTGCAAGATACCTAGCAAGCCAGACTAGAGGCTTTTGTTCTGTAAGGACAATCAAGTATGTACAATTTATCTTTCAGCTTACCGGTCCCTACTATCTTCCCATTTACATCATTTTGCAAGTAACAACCAACAGATGTGAAGTTACACCTTAGATTTGAAGTCATGCAACCTTGAGTAACTGATAAAATGCTATATTTAAAGGATGGGACAAACCAAACCTCATATAGCACTAGATCATTCGTGACCATCACCTCTCCAACTTGTGTAACCATTTTAGTTGTCCCATCTGGCAGATACACAACAATTGGTGAGCTCACGTCACTCATATTTTTCATCAATGACTTATTAATGAACATGTGCAAGCTAGCTCCTGTATCAATCACCCAAGCACCCCCATTAACTTTATCAAACATAGGAAGAGCATAATGCCTCTCTTCCCTTTCTTTATTGGTTGAAAAATTTATAAAATGGTCTTCCTCTTTGTAAGACTTTTCCCTTTCAGTTTCATATGAGATCTTTCCAAATAATTTAGCCAACTCTTATGCCAAAGCTGAAATATCTGGAATTGTGTTGGAACCAGTGATTTGTTACTTAGAAACACCATCTGTTTGCACTATCTTTTCTGAACCTTTTGTCCTCTTCTCCTTCATCTCTTCAAACTCATCAGGATAGCCACGTAACTTGAAACATGTAGATTTTTCATGACATTCCTTCCAATTTTCACACACCAGCTTGCCCTTGTATTCTTTTGAAAGTCATAGTCCTTCTCTTCCTGTCCTCTTATTGAAGAATTGTAGCTTGCTATTGTACTCCTTTCCTGATCCATTGAATTTACTCCTATAGCCATAGTAGAATTAATGTCTGTTGTAGTAATTTTTACCGGAGTTGAATCGAAAGATTGGAACACCGGGTTGTTTCTCAAGGAAGATCAGCCGGATTATTTGTACGACTATTCAATCGCACGAAAAGAGAAAATAATCCTAAACACTCCAATTCAAATGGTTGGTTTCGATTATCAAATACGTGATTAACAACTAATGATTCTCAAACAAGATATTTCGACTTCACAACCCAAAGCACAATTCAAATAATGATAAAATGGACTAAGGTGTCAGAGACAATCATTTCCGGTTCTCAATACATTAAACGACAATCGATCACTCGGCTAAAGAACCCGAAAAACTCACTCATTTAGAGATTCATTCTCAATAACTCACGTAACAAAAGAATAAACATAAACGAACAATTATCGAATCAATTAGCACATAGACAATACGTTTCCGAACAAGTCTATTCTAAACGAGCCTAGATCGATCGATTCTTCCCCTTTCGGTTCTAAAATCGATTAAATTGATTAAGATGGTGATCCATGGTGATCCATCATCCAACCCTAGGTTCAACATAACTCGAATAGATTGAGCAATCAACATACACACAAACAAAATTGAACCGAAACAATTATCCCTTAGCCCTAGTTACGAATTTAGCCACTCATTGCAATTTCAACACAACAATTCATAATTAAGCAGGCCATCAAATCCATACACAAAATGAAAAGAAATGCTTACGATTAAACATGAATCCAATGTCGAAACACCACGAATAATCCAAATCCAAAAGCTTAATCTTGGTGTTTTCACAATCCAAGATCAAATCTTATGAAAAACTAGGTAAAAAAATAAGTTCTGGAGTGAAGAAAATGAAATTACAAAGTCTGGAATATCACACATTCGCCCTAGGTTTGAAGTTTTTATCCTTCTCCCATTCAAAATCCATAAAAATCGCGGCTGTTACAAAACAGACCTTAGCACCGCTAAGGTTCCTTAGCTGTTCGCCCCAGCCATCGGTAAAAATAGGTAGCGCCGCTAGCCTTTTAACCTTAGCGGCGCTAAGGTCCTGGGAGCCCGTATGTTGCTTTTTTTTCGGCTCGCGTGCTCGGCTCACGTTGTTCGGGTACTGCCCGAGCTGAAAATCCGACCTTTGCATGTTTGTCGCATGAACGGGCATGGAATACCTTTGTAACTGGGATAACCTGAAATCACCAAACCGGAAAAAACGCGAAAAGCAAGGGAAAATAGGAGAAAAGAAAACGAGAACACGAAACACGACTAAATAACACTAAAACACGAGAAATGACTAAATGGACCGGCAACACCTAAGAAACGACCTAAAACGGGGGAAAATACACGCAAAACATAAACAAGAATAGCAACAAAAATGGGACAAACAACTCCCCCACACTAAGACCTTTGTTTGTCCCGAATAAAAAAAAAAAGGAAAAGAAAAGAAAAGGAAAATAAACAAATGAGCAAGGACAACGGTTCAAGCAAGATTGATCTCAAACCAATCAATCAAGTCAAGAAGAATTCAAATGATCACAAGAGCACACCTCAACTGTTAACTTGGCTATTTTGAATGGCATAAAACTCTCGAGTATAGAAGTGTATCATATATACCTCACTCAATTTCTTTCTCAAATATCAACCGGGTACACCCAAATTGGTCGTCAGTCGAATCAATCGTAAATTTGCCTATCATCTAACTCCTACTCTAAAACAATCAAATTCGTGAAACAATGATTCAAGAGGGCTTTAAGGGTTGTAACGTAGGCTCTTTGGATAGGGTAGGATAAATATAGACTAACTGGCTAAATAAAAATCAACTTCACTTAATCATATAACCATAATCATGAATTCCTCCAGTTGCTGACACCAACCAGTTCCTCCCACTACTCCAAAACCAACATACTTCCCAAATTATTCATGATTTTTTTTTATTTTTTTTTTTTGTGAGAACCTTTGGACATTTTATGTAATCCATTCGGTTTTCCCTTTTTTTATTTATTTACTTATTTTTTTTTTTTGTGTGAGAACCTTTGGACATTTTATGTAATCCATTCGGTTTCTCTCTTTTTATTTTTTATTTTTTTATATACAAACACGAATCACCTCCCAATCTACACACGTAACTCCACAATATCATCGTCACGAGGTAAGAGAAAGAAAATCAATAAGGCTCAAAAGGGGTGACTAGCGAAATTATTTTCAGAAAAAAGAAAAGGAAAATGAAATACAAAGAATGCCTCAATCATATTCATGTTCACAAATCCAATTATTTTATTTCCAAGCAGACTCAAGAAAAATTCTAATTGACACCATTCTGACCAATATCTCACGAGAAAAGAAATGAACGTGGCTCAAACCTCACAAGGTAAAATGACTGTCAACAGAACAACCAAACCAATTCATCAAGATATGCCACTCATTCTCATCATCACAACTACTTAACCCAATCAACCAATCATCAACTAATCTTACAATACACCAAAGTCTAGGCTCAGAAAAACACAAACCAATAATCCTACAATGTATACCGATCCACGAAACAAGAGAAAAGCAAAAGCAATCCTAGAAATAAAAACTAGAACTGGTTAACCCATAGCCACGTAAACACGTAAAACTCCCCCACACTTAAGATAAGACAATGTCCCCATTGTCAATCCAAAGTACAAGAGAGTTAGACCACACAATTAACTGACTCGAAAATAAAATAAAATAAGCTATACAAAAATAAAAGGGAAAGAGAAAAAAGAAAACGTACAAAGCACAGTGACAAGTCACTGTGCGTCCGGTGATGGTGGTGGTGGAGGATGGCTGCTACCCGCACTCCTATGGGTATCCCACTGGCTGAAACGGGTATCCCAAGTGCGCCACTGCTGGTACTGTTGGTCCGCCCAGGTGTCCCATCGGTTGTCATGGGCTGTCCAGCTGACTGGGAAGAAGCACCCGTATGCGCTTCTATCAATGGAGGAGGCTGAATGGTCTCGTGGGTGGAATGTCTGTTGGTGTCGAGCTCGTCCTCATCTCCATCATGAGGGTTCTCGCTGGCCGGACTGGTTGACGTACCGGTTTTCGATTGGGACTCGTGGTCCGAAAACGGTATACCCATTTCCTCACAATAGGCCTTGTAGCTGGCCCGCTTGGTGACGGACTTCGGGGTGTGTGGGTTGATCAGGTAGTTGGCGTGCCAGAGATCCTTCTGTGAAATCGGTTTGGCACGGATTTGGGGTTCGTCGGTCTCAACCGCAAAGTACTCTGCTAGTTTGGACACCACATGGCCCAAGTTCGGACCACGTCTCGTGTCGTTGCGTATGTCGAACAAGGTGTCCTTCAGGTATTGTAGCATGGTCACCGACTTGTCGTGAGAAACGGACCATAAGATGAACACTTGATGCTCGCTTACCTTGTTTGATTCCTTCTTGTCGAAGATCATCTGCGATATGTACTTGTGGATCACCACATGCGCCAAGTCGCTGATTAGACCCGAAGATGGCCCCGATTTCTTGTATGTCTCGCAGGGGGAGATGACTGCCCAATGTGGGTCAACTTTGAATCCCATGGGGCAGTGGCGTGACTCGATGGAGGAATCGAAGTGGTAGATGTCGCACAACACCTTGTCGGTGATTTTATATTCATTGCCCATAAGTCGAGCCGTGAGGGACTTCCCATTTTCGTGCTTGGTGACTGTGCTGAAGAACTCCAGAGTCAAATATTGGTAAGCATACGACTCCATATCCTCGAATTCCTCGAGATCGAGCAACTTGATGTAGCGGAGAATATCGTCACCGATTTTGAGCTTGTCGTTGAAGTATTTCAATCGATATAGCATGGCGCTAGAACGAACCTGGCGTGAAGCCTTTTACGCGTTGACCTCGTCCAATGACACGACTTCAAGGGGGATGCCGTGTTGTTTTGCTAAGGACAATGCCGGGGCAGCCGGGTCGGGGTTGGCGCTCGTGGAGGCCGCCGCTTTGCCCTTTGAAGTTGCTGGGGCCTTTTTCTTTGAATTAGCTCCACCTTTAACCATGGTTTTCGGTTTGGGTATTTTATCGAACATGTGACGTGCGGGGCTAGGGCTTGCAAGCTTGTGAACAATTTGGAGATGCTCGATCCCGGAGTTGGCCCCCTCGCGCCTCAACAAAGATCACACAACAATTTCGGAAAGCTAACGGTACCTTTGGAGTGGAAATTCGGCCGGATGTGAGCAAGTCTTCACGAGCTAGGGTTCGAATGAGGTGAAGTCTGACTGAAACCAAAGTGGATGATTGGTGACGCCGGAGTAGCTCGTGGTCGGAGGTTGTCGCTGTTGGTGAGTGGTGGACGGGGGTGGACGGTCCTTAGTGATTCAGGGGCTAGGGTTTATGACGTGTCAGAGGTCGTGATGTGCTGGAGATGCGTCGCCGGAGGTTGAGTGATTGGTTGAGGTTGTCGGTTGGTCGGAGATGAGGTGCGGTTGAATGTGATGGTCGCGGTTGTGTGTTTGCTGAAGAGGAAAAAATGAGATGCTTGTGTGAGAG